TTTATTAGAAAATAAAATGTTGAAAGAGCAACAAGGAGGGTGTGGTTTTTAAGATTGATTTCGGAAAGGCCTATGATCATGTGGACTGAGATTTTTTAGACAAGGTCTGGGAAAGAAAGGTTTTTGGTTCAAATGGAAAGCTTAGATGTGGGGTTGTATTAGATCCGTTAATTACTCTATCCTCGTGAATGGGAGACCTAGGGAAAAAATTGTTGCCTGAAGAGGCCTTCGGCAAGGTGATCATCTTTCTCCTTTCCTCTTTATGTTGGTCGTGGACATTCTTAGCTGATTAATTTCTGTTGGCGTGGAGAAAGAGGCTCTGGAAGCCTTCGAGTGGGAAAGGAGAACGTGTGCCTCTCACATCTTCAGTTTGCAGACGACACCATTTTTTTTTGCTCTGGTAAGGATAGTGCTTTTAAGAATTTGAATAGCCTTCTAGGTTTTTTCGAAGCTTTATCGAGCCTTAAGATCAACAGGGGCAAGAGTTCGTTGTTGGGGGTTACTTGTGACGATGATAAGCTTAGAGAGTGGGCGACTCTGATTAGGTGTGAAGTCGGTGAGTTTCCTTCTTCTTATCTTGGTCTTCCATTAGGTTACCCAAGAAGTGTGATGTTTTGGTCACCGGTGCGTGAGAAGTTTCAGAAGCGCCTTCTTCGTGGAAGAAGGCCTTCTCTTCTCTAAAGGAAGGAGACTCACTTTAATCCAATCTGTCTTGAGGGGTATTCCGACTTACTATCTCTCCCTTTTCAAGATCCCGGTGCAGTTAGTGAGGCTTTAGAAATGATTATAAGGGACTTCCTTTGGGAAGGTGTGGAAGAGGGGGGTGGCGCTCATCTAGTCAGATGGAATGAGATTACTAAGACTCAAGAATTGGGGGGTCAGGGCATTGGGAGCTTAAGGCTGAGGAATGAGGCTTTCTTGGCTAAATGGTTGTGGCATTTCATCCATGACTCCAGTGCCTTGTGGCGAAGGATTATAGTGAGCAAGTATGGGCTGTATCCCTTTGATTGAGTTGACAGGTGGGTCTAAGGTGAACAATTATAACCCTTGGAACGTTATTGCTTTGGGTTTCCCTGCGTTCTCTCAATCTTTATGTTCTGTGGTGGGGGAGGGTCGTAACATTTATTTCTGGAAGGATACTTGGGTAGGAGATAAACCTCTTTGCATTGCATTACCTCGACTCTACTTTTTCTCTGAAAAGAGGCTTAATTCGGTGTCTGAGGTTTTGAATCCTCGGGGGATGTCCTATCCATTTCCTTGGGCTTTACTCGAGCTCTAACGGATCGGGAAACCTTAGAGGTGTCCACTCTTCTTGTTTTGGTGTCCGAGGTCCCTAGACTCTAGGGGGGAGGATGTGAGGGTATGGACCCCTAACCCTTCGAAAGGTTTTTCTTGTAGCTCTTATTACCATATCTTGAGCTCCTTTGTCTTCTTCTCACTCTTCGACCCCTTTGTTCACCTCTCTTTGGAAGATTAAAATCCCGAAGAAGATCAAGTTCTTTGAGTGGCAAGTTTTACTTGGGAAAGTCAATACCTTGGATCGTATCTAGAGGATTTTCTCCTTATGTTTGGGTCTGCAGTGGTGCGTTCTCTGTAAGAGTGCCTCGGAAGACCTCGATCACTTGTTGTAGACTTGCCAGTTTGCGCAGGATTTATGGCACCGTTTCTTTATATGTTTTGGATTGTCTTGGGTCCGTGCTAGGGATTGTAGGGCTATCATGGAAGAATTTAATTTGGCTTGGGTTTTTGGCAATAATGTGGCGGATAACTTGGTTCAAATCCTTTTGAGGCCTATCTTAAATACAAAAGCTTCCTTATTATGGATTAATGCGGTGAAGGCAGTGGTGTATGAAGTATGGTAGGAAAGAAACCTTAGGATTCTTGAAGAAAAGAGGCAGCCCCCTCCAGATCGTTTCGACCTTGCTAGATTCAAAGCCTCGCAATGGAGCTCCTTATCTCCGTTATTTAAATCTTATTTTCCTAGTGTAATTTACTCTAATTGGGAAGTTTTTACGGTAGTGTTTTAAGTTTTACATTTATTTTAGCTTTATTTATTGTTTCAAGTTTTGCTTTCACTCTTTCGAGAGTTTGTATCTTTGAAAAATTTTGTCCCTTTTCATTATTTCAATGAGAAGTTCGTTTCTTGTTCAAAAAACGACAAATCAAAAAAACAAAAAAAGAAATGAGAAAGAGTTAATAAATACAATTATTGTAGAAATTCAAGTTGAAGATTCGGTTTTTCAAATTTGGAACTACTTTAAAATTATTTATTTTTATACCATATAATTTATCTTTTTCTTGTAGATCTAGATTGATTCCTTATTTCCAGAGCTTTGGTTGGAGGTTCTCTTGTATATGTATCTCATCCTATTATATTAAGGTCAATAAGAAAAATCTCTTCTCATAAAGCTTCATGCTATCAGAGCATGGGAAATAAACCATAATTCTAAAAAACCTTAGTGATCATCAGATATCTTACGTTTGACAATCTCTTCACGACAACTAGTTGTCGCTGTCGACCCTCTCAGTTGTCTATCCGCACAGATCTACATCTGTCTTCGCAGATTTGTCGTCTATGAAGCACGGACACGGATACGGGATACAGACACGATAGGACACGGCGATACGTCAATTCCTAAAAACTTAGGCACGGACACGTTGGGGATACGTTTATTTTTTTTAATATTTTTTAGGATATATGTAAATTTAACACAAAAAATGCTAAATACAATAAATGCATAAATATGAAGTCAATTACATCCAATGTTCAACAAAAGTTACAAAAACAAAGTCCCAAATGACCAATATAGTGACAAAACGAAGTACCAAAGTTTTAAAGCTATCATTTCAAGTCTCCATATCATCCTTGTCAGTGTGACGATCATCCTTCTTCCAATTTCTCCATATGCGCAATATCTTTAGGAGTAACTTTTAAACATATCCCTATTCCTTGACTATGTATCTTTAACAAGTGAGCTCTAACTCTTGTGTAAGAGCTTTTCTTGATGGCTTGACAAAAGTTGCATTGCCATGAAAAATTTCCACCCCTCACTCAATTTTTGAATTTTAGTTACATATTGCAAAGAGATTTTGAATCATCTTCAATGCAAGAAGAGGCTGTTTCTATAAAACACGGACACGGCAAAAAAGGAGTGTCTGTGTCGGACACGTGGGGACACGTTTTGGACACGGGAGGGACACGCCAGATAAAAAAAATATTGTTTCCTTAGCCTAATTTTGGAAGTCCAAGAAGTTTGGCTGAAATCTCAAAAACTTAAACTACAAAAAAAAAACCCTAAAACGCTACCGTGTGGTCGTTGCACATCAGTATTTCTCGACGTGTGTGAGGTAAGTAAATGAGCTTGACTCTGAAGAAATCCATAGCTCATAACCACTTTACCAAATCGTTCAAACCATGCTCTCGGAGACTACTTGAGCCCATATAGAGATTTCTTTAACCTGCATACTTTGTCCTTCCAAATTTTAGCTTCAGAACCTGGTGGTAAACTCATAAATACTTCTTCTTCACGATCTCCATTCAGAAAAGCATTTTTTACATCGAGTTGGTGAAGGGGCCAATCTAAATTTGCAGTTAGAGATAAAAGTATGCGAATGGAGTTGATTTTAGCAACAGGAGCAAAAGTTTCTCAATCCCATAGGATTGAGTAAATCCCTTTGCAACTAGTCTCGCTTTATACCTTTCAATACTACCATCTGCATTACACTTGATTGTAAAAGCCCACTTGCACCCCACAATTTTCTTATCTCTTGCCAACTCTACTATCTCCCACGTACAATTCTGTCTTAGAGCATTCATCTCCTCCATAACAGCTAGTTTCCAATTTGGATAATTTAGGGCTTCTTATATGTTCCTTGGAATAAACAAGTTAGTTATCTTAGACGCAAAACCTTCATGACTACTTGACAAATTTTTATAAGGGATATAGTTTGCAAGAGGATATTTGGTACAGCTCGAGTTCCTTTTCTTAAGGCTATATGGATATCAAGATCAGAAACAACAGATGAGACATTTTCAATATTTGGAGTAACAAGGATGGAAGATGGATTACTTGGACTTTGAGAATCATCCCTCGGAGTTTCAGATTGGATCTGTGATGAGTCAGCTATCTGGTCCTCATTCGTTTGATTGAGTCTTCTTCTAGTATAAACCTTAAACTCAGGATTTGGATCAATTTGATCATTTCGTAGTAATTCTCCCCCTGACTGAGAATTTTCTACACTTGGCATTGAAGGACTAGTAAAGTTGGGACTTATAACATTAGGAGGAGGAACATGTATATCCACAGGTATATCCCAAAAATTATCATCCTTACCCTCTAAATTTAGTTTCTCCCCTGAAGATAATTTTGGGTAAAAAAGGGTTGATTTTCTGAAAAGGACACATGCATACTCACATAAAGCTTTTTTGTTTGAGAATCAAAACATTTATACCATTTTTTCCGAAAATCATAGCCCAAAAAAATGCATTTAATGGCTCTCTTATCTAATTTTGACCGAAAATCACAAGGAATGTGCACATAAGTAGTACACCACTTTAATAGGTAAATCAGAGTTAAACAAGTTGTTGGAAAATTTTCTTTCAAAACATCAAGAGGAGTTTTAAACTTCAAAACTTTAGTAGGCATCCGATTTATTAGGTAGGCAGCCGTGAGGACTGCTTCCTCCCATAAGTACGTTGGGACATTCATAGAAAACATTATGGCCCGAGCAACCTCCAATAAATGCATATTTTTTCGTTCAGCAATACCATTTTGTTGAAGAGTATCTCGAGAAGTAGAATAATGAATAATGCCTTTAGTTTTCAAAAACTCACTCAAATGTTCATTGAAATATTTTGTTCCATTGTCAGAATGCAGAATGCTAATTTTGGTTTGAAATTGGGTTTCAATCATATTGTAAAAACATTTGAAAATATCCTTCACATCGAATTTGTTTGTCAATAAATAAATCCAAGACAAGCGAGTATGATCATCAATAAAAGTTACAAACCACCGTCTACCACTATGAGTTTAAACTTTAGAAGGACCCCAAACATCACTATGAATTAAATAGAATGATTTGGAGGACTTATAAGGTTTTGACAAATATGTGGATCGATGATGTTTTGCAAAGATGCAATTTTCACAATGAAACTGAGAACAATCAACTCTCTTAAACAAATTTGGAAATAGGTGTTTGAGATAAAAGAAGCTAAGATGTCCTAGCCTAAAATGCCAAAGCATAATTTATTCTTTAACAGAGATAGAACTATTACTACTACTAAAGCACTGAGTTATTTTAGTACTATCAGAAGGCTCATCAAAGTAGTAGAGGCCATCCAGCATTCTCGCACATCCAAACGTCTTCCCCGAGGTCTGGTCCTGAAAAACACAGTGAGATGCATAGAAAGTAACAAGACAGTTAGAATCTTTAGAGAGTTTACTAACTGATAAAAGATTGCAAGCTAATTTAGGGACATGTAGGACTGATTGAAGAGTAATATTTTCGGTTCATTTGATGGTTCCCTTGCTTGCAATACAAGAGAAACTGTCATCGGCAATCCTAATTTTTTCATTACAATATGTAGGAGAGTATGATTCAAATATTTTAGAAGAGCTAGTCATATGGTCAGAAGCTCCAGAATCAATGACCCACGGAGATGAGCCAAAACAAGAAACTGCTCTACTAGGGTAATTTCCTGTTTGTGCCAAGGAAATACAAAGATTACCGAATGAAGAATTGGTCTCTAGCCGTTGTGATAGATGCTCTCTACTAAATGGTTTTGAGTCAATGTTATTACTGCGAGCTCGCTCCCGATCACTTTCATATTCCGCTAGACTTTGGGTCACTTTAACGAATCCTTCAATCATGATGATAAAACAAACTATAACAAATCAGACCACAAACTGATTTAAGGTAGAAATGATTAGAAAACCAGAGAGTAAAAAAAACAGGCAGAATCGGAGAACCGAAC